ATGATTATTATATTAAATAATAATAAGAATAATAATAATTTATTTATTTTAACAATTTTCTCCTTTATGAATGAAATTCCAACCAGGAAATTTAGTTGAAAACTTAGGGACAAAAACAGTAAATATGATTTTCCTTCGCATAGTTCATTTTCTTTTTTCATAAATGAAATATTATCTTTTAACCTAGTATGTACCTACCCATTCCTTTGTTCTTATTTCCCCAATTTTTAATGAATTATTATTTCTTCTTCAAATTCGCTTGCTTAATCCATAGGAGCCACCTACCCTTTCCTTTGTTCTTATTCCCCCAATTTTTAATTGAATTGTTATTTCTTCTTCAAATTTGCTTGCTTATTCTAAACGAGCTACCCACCCATTCTTTTAGTCAATTCTTATAATTTTTTTAACATTGCAATTCATTTCTCACTGGTGAACCTAATTGCTGAGGGTCACAAAATTCTGTTGAATGAATTTTTAACTAATTGAGCAGAAATCATGCTTAGGTCCAGACAGCAACTCATAAATTTGACTTTCTCTTGGCTTTCGTATTAGAATTTAAATATAAAAATTAGATTTTGGGTGATTTGTTTTAATCTTTAAAGATAAGATATTTTCAAAAATATTTTTTTTTAATTTTAAAAATTTTTAGTCAAGATAAAAGATTTTTAAATAAAATCACCTTTTCTCATATCAAAAGCACGTGTTGAAAAAAATGTTGTTATAGGTTATGTTTAAAGTATTTAGCTCTAAAAATTTATATTTTAACAAAATATAAAAATAAAGATCAAGTTACACGTCATATTAAAAGAATATTTTTACATGTCATGTTGAAAATAAAATTATTACACGTGATGTTTAAGGTGTTTAACTCTAAGAGTTTATATTTTAATAAAATACAAAGATAGAGATCAAGTTATACGCTATATTCAAAACAATATTGTTACATGCCATGTTGAAAAAAAGTTGTTATACACCATATTTATGGTGTTTAACTTTAAGAATTTATGTTTTGGTGAAATATAAAGATAAAGTCCAAGTTACACGTCATGTTAATAAAAAAATATTATTATATGTCATGTTAAAAAAGAAGTTATTATACACTATATTTAAGGTGTTTAACTTCAAGAGTTTGTATTTTAGTGAAATACAAAGATAGAGACCGAGTTACACTCTATGTTAAAAAAAAATTATGACATGCCATGTTTAAGGTATTTAACTCCAAGAGTTTATATTCTAATGAAATATAAAGATAGAGACCAAGTTACACACCATATTTAAAAAATATTTGTGTTATATGTCATATTCAAAAAATGTTGTTGCATGTCATATTCAAAAAAAAGTTGTTACATGCTATATGCAAAGTGTTTAACTTCAAGAGTTTATGTCGTAGTGAAATACAAATATAGAAACTAAGTTAAATGCCATATTTAAGGTATTTAACTTTAAGTGTTTATATTTTAGTGAAATACAAAAATAGAGATCAAGTTACATGTTATGTTTAAACCATGTCATATGTAATATATTTATTACACACCAAATGCAATAGAGTTGTTATATGTAGGCATAACGTGTAATAATTCTGAACAGTGTTCTAATTTACAAATTTCATTTATAACTTCAACCCATCAACTATAAGGTTTTGTGAATGTAAATCAATAAACTAAAAACATACATTGATGTCATTTGTGCTCTTTGATTTGTAGATTAACAATGATATGACAAGAAATAAACAGAGAGAAATGATGATGGTAGTAAAATTAGATAGAGCTAGATAGCAGAAGAGAGAAATCAAAAGCACAACAGATGAATGCGGGAGAGAAAAATCTATAAAATTAGAGAGAACTGGATGACGAGAGAGAGAAATCAAGAAAGGAAGTTTTGATAAATGGTTTAATTTGTTTGAAATGGCTTTAAGGGAAATTTTTGTCAAGTTATAGCAAAAATTGGGTAAAAACAATAGTTAGGGGTTATTTTTGAAATGGGTTTATGAGGTTGACCATTTCTCACAATTTCCTCATTAGATTTTATTTTATCAACTTATTATTATATTTTAAAAAAAAATAGAAGATCAATGATCATGTGAACTTTACGATAAGCATCCAATCTAAAATACGTAATAATAAGTGGAAAGACTTTTGTTATATTTAAGTTCTCAAAATTATTTAAATTTAATTGATTGAATTTTTTTTGTCACCACTCCTTTGTTTCTCGTAGGGACCATGGACTTATCATTTCACATAAATTAATGAAAAGAGGATCTACGAAAGGGACAAGGAATGGGGGCCCTTGTTATAATTATGTCTAAGCTTAATTTAATAAATGTGAGATTTCATTACTCAATTCTCACCTCTTCAATAATATGAGAGCATTAAAGTTGCGATAGTCTTACATCTCTTAAATTGGGGTACCTTATCATACAAATATAACATGCTTACT